CATTATATCGCTGATAAGAGTCATTTTATGAACCACAGACATTGGCCCTTACCTCTTCCCCTATTTTGAAGACTGCAAATTCAGCTGATGAACTGTAGGTACGTGCAAGAGGTCTAACAATCTTATGTACCTGAACTTGAAGGTTCTTGGAAACATTGACAGCAACAATGACCCTCACCAAGTTCTTAGAGCACTTGAAGAAGTAGGATGAACCCACGGTGAGTAGATTAACTGTTCTCTTGAAATATTAACATTTGGGGAGGCAATGAATTCTACTCAACATGTTTCAACTCTGCACTGAGTTGAACCACCTAGAAGGATCCATCAGGGGGCATGGATAGGTGAAAATGGTTGACTTGCTCTGGTGGCCACTGGAGTGAATCCCAGCCCCATCAGGAGACCAGACTTTTGGCTTCCCTGCCCTTAACCCGTGTGGTGTGACCTTGAGCCCACCACTTCCCTTCTCTGTGCTCCACTCCCCTCCCCTGTCAAATGTGGGGTGTCAGCATGATGGTTTATCACACACTTCCTCACCTTTGGGTCTGGTCTCCTTAGGAAGACTTATGCAGGTCACTTAAGCCACTTGGAAATCCGATAAACCGTGAGAGCAGAACACAGTGGCAATTTTAATTCAGGTGCTTCTCATGTTTGTAAAAAAATTATTTCTTCGGGGCTGAGTTGTTCACCAGTGCTAAAATAGCTTCTAAAATAACAACGATACCAGTAAGCATTGCGTTGCCTTCCATCTGGATAATCATTTGTATGACTCAGCACAGGTGGCATTCCATCTCAGGTGGGCTCTGGGTAGGCATCACCAGGTCCTTCAGCTGGGGCAGAGGCTGGGCACGGGGAATTCAGAAGTCCTGGCTCCAGACTCTGTTAAAACCAGGTCCATAATAATATCCGGGTGGTGCCAGTTGGTTCTAGGCTCTTCACTGAAACACTTGAATCCTTCCAATAGACCCAGGGGGTAGGAATATTAAGAGTGGCTAATAATAATCATAGGAGAGAACATTGCATTTCCAGAACCATGAGGAGTATCTGGATAAAAATGGGTTTTGTCACATTTTCATTCACTTAATCTTCTTAGTGACCCTATTAAATAACTACAAGATAGGTACCACGATTGTGCTCATTTATCTGAGAAAATGGAAAACCCAGAGAATTTAAGTAACCTGCCCGAGGCCACACAGCCATTGAGTGAAGAGAGCTGCACCTTGCCTGTTGGAACCAAAGTCCCTTCGCCTCAAAGCGAGGCAGGAATTCTGGAAGGACTTTGTCCCCAGGGACGTCTTGGCTTTGAGATTCCATTCTAAGTTTAGCATCGTCGTCACAGACGTTCGATGTGTGGTGCTGGGATTTATGATGTCGCTTCAGTTAAATGCCGTAAGCTCCCTGAAGGTGGGACGGAACTGTCAGAGGATCAGGCCCCTCCCCTCATCCCAGGAGTTAACCAGGCTAACCACAGTCCTTGGACTCTTCTATATTTCGCCTTTCAAATGCTTCTTTTATGCTCCAGACATTATTGAGATGTAGCCTAAAGAATGAGATTCATAGTTGTGGGGAGCTCAGAACGACATTAGAAGGGCTCATTAGCACTTAACGTCAGCAGCCTTTATTCATCTAACTTTTCTATAGGGTGAAGGAACAGCCATCCGTTAAAAAACAAATTATTAAAAAAAAAAATTCTGAATCTTTAGAGGAGAAAGGCCCGTGGCTGCGAGGGCTCCCACCCCACCCTCCCCTCCCCTCCCATCACTGCTGGGCCAGCGACACAATTTGTTTCTTGAAAGTCATAGGGCAAGGGAGTTCTGGTGTCCTCATTTTTCTTCCTTCCATTGATGTATCATTACTAGAGTGAAAGAAAGAAGGGTGTCTCGAGGGCTTTTGAAAAAAAAAAAAGGTGGCTACTCAAGACATTTTTGTAAAGGGGGGAAAATTGTGAAGAAAAGGGCCCCCAGTGGGGGGTGGAGGGGTGGTGAATGTGGCCTTGTCTGGAGGCTCTTTCAGCAGAAACCTGGTGCTGGCCCTGGTAGTTCAGTGCAAACTGTCACCTTTAGTTCTTGCTGGCTTTTCTGCCCTCGGCCCTGAACCTCAACAGATTGGCGCTTATTTACCTATTCACACTCGGCCGGAGAAGCTCATTAATAGGCTTATTAGCAACACCATTCACGGGAGGCCATTGACAAAAGGGGTTCCAGCCACTTGAAGAGGGAAGAGAAAAAAAACTGTCCAGAGATTATTTTCTCATTCAGAAGCCTCACTGGTGTGAAAGCTTTCCTAGACCCTCTGAGGTCACTTGAAGCCTAAATATGATGACAGAATCGGTTTTTGTAAAAAAAAAAAAAAAAAAAAATTCCAAACATGCTTTTGCTTCTCTCAAAACTGAAGAAGGTTGCTGCTGTGGGCCTGTGGGCTTTGCTCCCTTAAAAAAGGAACCCTCTTAGGGGAATAAGGGTCTTGTGATGGATGGGTGTCTTTTCATCCCTGTGAAGAATAAATTCTGCGAACTGCATCTGGTCATGAAAGTAGGTGTTCTGATTTGTCATTTTCAGCGGAAGCCTGCCTTTTTATTCAGTGTACATCAAGCTATTGATGAATGGGGTTAGGGACGATGGCTTCCTGCACCAGTAATTTATGTGAGAATGTGTTAACAGCATTTTCAATGGCTGATGGATATGTTGCAGGACGGGAAGGGGATCTGTCCTGAGGCACTTGAGTTTCCCATTGGTGGGGAATATAAAGATGTTAAATGCCAGGGCCGGAGGAGGCAGACATGCAGCCACCTCTCTTTTTGTGATCACAGGTCTGAGGACTTGAAAAAGGTATTGGTGTGTTCAGAACCATCCAGGTGTGAGTGGACGGCTGAGGTGTCAGTTCATGAAAAGGCCTTAGGACTGATCCAGGTTAAGACTTGACCGAAGGGGCACCTGGGTGGCTCAGTCGTTGAGTGTCTGCCTCCGGCTCAGGTTATGGTCCCAGGGTCCTGGGGTCGAGCCCCGCATCTGGCTCCCTGCTCCGCGGGAAGCCTGCTTCTCCCTCTCCCACTCCCCCTGCTTGTGTTCCCTCTCTCGCTGTCTCTGTCTGTCCAATAAATAAATAAAAAAAACTTAAAAAAAAAAAGACTTGACCAAAAACATACCCAAGCATGTGGACCGATCATTTGGCTTGAGAATCTATTCTTTTTGCGGTCAAATTTCCAAAATAGAATTTCACACCCATTTGCCTGAAGCATGCCAATGGATTTGATACTCCCAGCATGTAAGTCATTTACATAAAAGTTTTCTGTGATGTATTGTGAAGAAAAATGATTTTCTCATGTGTGGCACCTTCAAAAAAATTTTTTTTTGTAAATGTTATTGAAGTGTGCTGTGTCGGTGACCCAGGAGCGACTGCATTTCTAAATGCTGGAAAAGTCGATTTTCCAGGTCAGTTTTGTACTCACTGCTCCATCTATCTTCAGGCCTCAAAAGCATTCTGAAGCACTTCGGGGTTTAATGACCTTTTCTAAGGAAAAATAATTAAGGTTTTTATCTATATTGTCTTGGACTTAAGCACAAAAGCTTAGGAGCTGGATGAGTGAGGAGGAGAGAAAGTATATTAAAAAATAAATTATCCCGTAGAAACAGCCTCCCGAGAAAGGTAAATGGAAAATACGAACTTTAACCAGTTGCAGCCTGGCATTCAGTTTTAGAATCTGATTTTGCGGTTGAAGAATCTAAGATTCAGGAGGAGGAACTGCTTTGCTCAAGGCCACACAGCTATTTATAGCGGAGTCGTCTTTAGAATCTTTCCAATTTCTTTTTATTACTCCAGATATATATTACTAAACAACACTTTTGTCGTTGCCTTTTTTTTTTTTTTAAGATTTTATTTATTTATTTGAGAGAGAGAGAGAATGAGAGACAGCACGAGAGGGAAGAGGGCAGAGGGAGAAGCAGACTCCCCGCCGAGCAGGGAGCCCGATGCGGGACTCGATCCCGGGACTCCAGGATCATGACCTGAGCCGAAGGCAGTCGCTCAACCGACTGAGCCACCCAGGCGCCCATGTCGTTGCCGTTTTTGACTTTCTCTAGGAGAGGCCAGAGTCAAAGTCAGGCTCTGCCAATAAGCGGCTGTGTGGCCCCGGACGAATTGCTGAACGTCTCTCCCGTTTCCTTATCAGAAACTGGCAATGCTACTTTCTGCAGGGCGGTGATGCCCAGGAAGAAGAACCCGCTCGGTGTGCCCTGCCCAGAGTAGGGCCTCCATAGATGCCGGTTTCTTCTCTCGCCGCTCTTGTCTTGCAGGACCTTCTCCCCCAGAAGTTTCACTTGCATTAACCGCCCCCCCGCCTCCCCCCGCCCCATGCAGTCGCTTCAGCGGTAGGGCAGGCGGTCCGTCGTTTGCTTTACTGGCTTGAACTAAAACAACGCGACGCGATCGGCGATCAGCCGGCTAGCCGTCGGCCTAAACCCCCAGGGAAGGAAGGGGGCGGTGGCGCGGGGCGAGGCCGTCGCCGCACCTCTCCGGGCCGGGGCGGCCGGGGTCTCGGGTGCTCGCGGGCGTCGGGAGCCGCGCGGAGGCCCGGCGGCCGGGCGCGCGGCGCTGATTGGCGGAGCCGGCGCCGCCGTCCAGGAAACGGCTCAGGTTTCAGCGGGGGCGTGACGCGCGGGGAGGGGGCGGCGGCGGCGGCGGCGAGCGCCGCGGAGAGCCGAGCGGGAGGGCGGCGGGCGCGGAGCGGGCGGGCGGGCGAGCGCGGCCGCCACAAAGCTCGGGCGCCGCGGGGTGTGCGCGCGGCGTAGCTGGCCCGGCGCGGCGACTGCTCTCCGGGCTGGCGGGGCCCGGGCGCCCCGAGGCCGCGGCTTTCCAGGGCGCCCTGTGCGTTCGCAAGTTGCGAGCAAAGTTTGGTGGAGGGGACGCCGAGCCGGAGTCCTTTCTTCCCCTCGCTCCGCAAACCCGAGGGCAGCCGGCGGGCGTCATGCCCGCGCTCCTCCGCAGCCTGGGGTGCGCCTGAAGCCTCGGAGCCTTGGCGCGGGCGGGACCTGAGGACCACTCTGATTTGGAGTTTCCCCCGAGTTCGTCGCTTGCTCCATCCCGACTCACGCCGGGCGCGCGGACAGACCGGCGGCCGGGGAGCGTTGCCATTCAAGGTAATCGCCGTGTCGGGTGCCTCGGGGAGCCTCGCCAGCTGGGGAAGCTGGCGCCGCGGGAGGCCGGGACGCCGGGTGCACCGTCCCCCGAGTGGAGGGCGCGGGGGGCTGGCACGGTTGAGGCCGTTCCCTGTCCTCCCTCTTTGGCCGCATAGGTGATGGGGGAGCGGGGTGCGTGCTGACGGCGGCCGCTTGGGAAGCTCTGCCTCTACTTATCGCCCCCATCCAGATGCTGACATCTGCTTCTGGCACTGACACCCCGTCCCTGTCAAACTCCGGCCGGCGCCGTCCCACCGGCCGGCGCGATCCTCCGACCCCAGGGCGGTCGGGCGAGTGGCGGGGCTGCCTCGCCGGTGGCTCGGCCCCGCAGGTCCGGGGTTCGCAGGGGCATCTTCGGGGTGCCTCATTACGGGGTCCGGGGGGCGCCCGCCCTGCCCTATCCAGGCCGGGCGGGGGGGGGGGCCGCGGTGGAGACCCTTCCCCAGGAGGGAGCCGCTGGATGGGACCGGCGACCTCTCCGTAGGGCTGGCTGTGCTCGGGGGTGGCACCTTGGGGGAGGCGGCCGCTCGGGTTCCCCGATTTCAGTAACCGGCGCCCCCCTCCCGCTGCCGCCGTCGGTGCTGGAGGGAGCGCAGCGCGCCTGGGGCTAGGGGGCGAACTGGACCGACTTTTTCTAGCTCGCCGCCTGCTCAGCCGGCAGCAGCTCGGGGATGTCGAAAGCGCAGGCGAGTTCTAACTTGCGCGCTCATTCTTTCAGGGCCGGGGCCGCGCCGGGGAGTCGGCCCGGGGCCCTGCGAGGTGCTGGCTCCAACCCTCGCGGCCACAGGGCCAGGCTCAGGGGTCCTGGCCGGGCGCGCCGAGTCGCCGCCGCTCCCCTCGAAGCCCGGCTCTCGCCAGACCCTTCTACGGGCCTGCCTTCCTCCGGCCCAATTCAATAAAACCTACCCTTAAAAGCAAACCTGCTTTCACACTCGGGGCACCCATTATGTGTTTGGTGTGAAACGCTATCAACATTTAAAACCCCATTGTCCCCCTGGTCCCAAATCCCTGTAAATCTTCCACTGGCCGCGACTCATTTTCATCTGAAAAGCCTGTTTAGTTTGAATAGAAAAGCAATCAGGCGCCCCTCTCCCTCTCCCTCTCCCTGGAATGTCAATTAAAATGCAGATTTCTCTGAGCTCTTTAGCGCCCCAAGAAGGGGGAGAAAAACAGGATATGCCAGGCAAACAAATGAAAGAAATGCTACAATGGAACGGGGCTGGAGGTGGTTAGGAGTTCCCCAAAGCTGCGGCAAGTTCTCACTGGATTGCTAGCGTTAACCAGGGGATGGATTGCCGTCCTGGGTCAGCCTTATTTTGTGTTTTTGGAGATTTCAGTATGTTGAGGAACCTCCTCTCCATCTCCCCCCCCCCCCCCCACAACCTGCCCAGATTTGACCCCTGATAGCTCCCTCCATTACTCAGCTCGGAAGACAAGGGGAACAGTAGGGAGGCTTTGAGCTCAGAGATAGGTCTGCCCCCCTGGGGGGATCCAGGCATCCCAACTTTGCCTGGCGCTGTTGACTTTCCTGATGTAAAATCTACCAGAAACAAAGCGCCCAAGTGCTCAGCATGGGTGAGCCTGCAGAGGACAGATAACCACTCAGTGGTAGAGGCTCAATTAAGGTAGGCACTGTGTTGGTTTGCCTTCTTGGAGCATGGGGGTGGGGGGGGGCGTTGAGAATATTTTGGTTAATTGAGGAGCCCAGCAGGAACCCGGCATAGGGACCACTCGCCAGTCAGGCTCTCTTGCTTGTCACTTTGCCTGTCTTTGGGGGCAGGCTTGTGCCCAGGTGAAAACAGACCTGGGGAGGGGTGGCCATGAAGAGCCGTCTGTCATGGGGAGGGTGACAGCTCTTCCCAGGGCCTAGAAGAGAGTTCCCTTTCAAGGAGAAAAATAAACACGCTGGGGCTTTCACTGAGGCTCAGACTCCAGGAAGGATTATGGTATTGAAGGCAGGAAGCCGGGATTGTGGCCGCCAGCAGCCTGCTGGGCCTGTGTTCCCAACACCGAGCCTCAGGACCTAATTATCCTGCCTAGGAGGTCCCACCACACTTGTGTCCACTCTGGTGAGGAGTTGTGCAGACCTGCTGCCTTAGGCCTCCGCGTTCCAGAGATTTGGGCAGGGGGCAGCCTGGGGCCTAGACCTGGTAATGGCTAAAATTCAAGTTTTTCGTGCAAGCTGATGGGATGAATGAATGGTCTGAGATTTAGCTGATTTAGGTCCCTGGCCAGCTTTCTCTGCCTGGAGCAAAGGAAACCTTTCTGGGCTGGGACAGGTGGGTGATGAGGCCAGGGAAGCAGCCTGGATGAAATCTCCTGCTAGGATTTAAGATTGTTCATGAAGTTGTGTCAGAGGCTGAACATTCCCATGCATTCTGGAAATGCTTAGTAAATCAATGAGAATGCTTGTGTACTTTCCTCCCACATGTATGTAGAAATAGATACGGAGTTATCTTTTGAGGCTCTTAACTTCAAGAGGAAAGAAGATCGAGGGGGGAAAAAAAATCCTTCAAGCAACCTGAAAATAGAGGGTGTGCTCACAGGCACACGGTTTTCTTGCTTTTGCTGTGAATCACCGTTTCATATGTGCTTTCTTTTGAATCAGAGGTTTTCTTTTCCTTCTCAGGAACTGCAGCATTCTCTTTTCCCATTTTAATCCTTCGTCAAAGCTAACAGGAACAGTTTTTCTGATGTAGCTTTGGAGAGGCTCAGGCGATGTTGAAATCTTTGAATCTTTGACATGTTTGAAACATCGAGTTGGCATGCCAAAAGCCCAGGCTTTAGAGATTTTTATATTAAAGGTCTCACCCTCGCCCCCAGTCCTTAAAGTGTGGTTCGTTTATTTGGTTCACCGAATCTGTGATGTTGCAAATTTTCTCAAGTTTGTGCATTTCGGTTCTGCACTTAGTCATTGAGGATAATGAGTACATTTAAAGTTATTTAGAATAGTTGAGCCTGGACAATTCTCTTTGCCTTTGGGTCACATGGGTGAACAGACCAGTGAGTGGAGCACCCCCTGTAACTTCTGAAGTTTTAGCCAATAGGTTAGCATATTGCAAGTTATTGGTCCAATCACATACCACGACAGTAATTTACATATCACCATCCTTGTTAATCAACACCTGCCTTATTCCTCAGAGTTTGCATCCGCTATGTGGGCTGAAGACATTTACCAGGCGGGGGCTGCCCGTAGTCGAAGTGGAAGGGGATTCAGGCTTTGAACCTCTTTTTGGATCCGCCGCTTTGAATGCGTTTGCAGTTCCTTTCATTCTCCCGTAAGTGGCTGCTTGGCACAAGATCGAGAAATACATTTCCATATTGGAAAATGAATCCTGACAAGTGTAAACTGGTGAGGGCTTTTTGGTAGCCTTCCTGGGGTTCCTTTTATTTTGCTGGTCTCCTTTCTTGCCGAGTACTACAGTGAGGGTGGAGCCAGCCGCTCAGCCGCAGCCCCAGAAATAAGTCTGCACGCAGCCGCCTCCACCATCCAGCTGTCTAAAGCCCCGTTGGCCTAAGAGAAGTTAACAAGGCCGGTTCTGCCAACCCGAGCATTGTTAACTTGCTTTTGTACTTGCCCTTGAAACTAAGGGCACGTAGCTTCTGCGTTTTGAGGGCTGTAGAGGTGACAGTGGATGGCAGAAGAGAGTGGCCGCACGGAGCTGTGTCCCAGAGCCACTCTTTCATCTCCGGTTCTTAGGAGTGTGCGTCCTCACGGTCAGCCCGGCACGGCTCGTCGGGGACCGGTCTGGCGGGAACACCTGGGACCCTGAGGCGCCCACGCGGGGCGTTCGCAGATAATGCAGGGGAGCTGTTGGTGCCTCTTTGAAGAGGCTGCAGCCCACTTGGGTTTCCAGGAATTGGCATCGGGGAGGATTTCACTGACTCGCCGCATCTGTCTCCCCTAGGGGCTGCAGCGGCTTTGGCGGCACCTGGGCTCCGGAGTGCGCCGCGGGCTGGAGGCATTGCTGGCAGTCCATGCTCGCAGACGAGGTGTGCAGATGGGAGTGACGTCCACATGGAGATATGGAAGAGGACGGGGGATTGGCACGGCCGCAGCCGTGCTCAGCTGGGCCCGCTTGGGCTGCCTGGTCGCGGTCACCATGGCAACCTTGTCCCTGGCCCGGCCCTCCTTCAATTTGGTGGAGGATACCACATTAGAGCCGGAAGGTAAGTTGTTTGTCTCACCTTTCAGGGCACCAAGTTTGTTCGGGGCTGTGTCTGGGGAAGTGGCGCTGAGGTTAAGGCCTGTTTTTGAATCAGCTGCCCTTGCATTGTGAGTGAGTCTTTAAGAGCAAGGAGAGTGGGCTCTGTGCTCCCCCCAGGTCAGAGATTGGCACCCCCTCCCCCCCAAGTCCGAGATGGCGAGAGAAGGTTCCTTGCTGTAACAGTGCAGGCAGAACGGTCCAGTTTGGTGGTTTCTTGGTGTGTGCGTTTCTCTGTGCTGGGCGAGGGAGGCAGCGACCCAGGAGAGCTGTGGGAGGGGAGCCTGTAGGTGAATGCCATCTAGAGCCTTCCGAGCAGGAGCATTCTTACTGGAGGGAGAGTCTTGCTTACGATGTAAAGAATTGGCTGTTTTCTGACAAAAGGAGCCACGGAGGGAAATTGCCAATATCTGAAACGCCAACGTTTTATTTTCATTGTCTAAGGAGAAAAAGAAGCTTCTGGAGTTCACAGAGATGCTTGACGTTTTACTTCGTTTTTTTTTTTTTTTTTAAAGCCATTGTAATTCCTAGTACCTAAGCAATACGTCACAGAAGCTGCAAAGTCTATTTTAGGTAAATTTGAAAGTGAAGGTACCTGGGTGTTTCCCACCTCTATGGGAACTTCCAGGTCGAACAGGCCACACGCTGGTTTTTCAGCTTTGGAAATTTAATTTTAAAGGCAGAAAGCCAGTTGTGAACACTAAATGGTGCCCGTATTACTCAGCTGGGCAGGTCTGGAACCTCCTTCCCGGGTCCTTCCGAGACGACAGTAGCCAAGCCTCCACTTGGGGCGGCATTGAAATCTGTCATCAGCCGGGAATATTGGTAGCTGAGTTATTTTTCGAGTGGTAATCCGAGAATAAAATGGCAGATCCCAGCATTCATCGCCACTTAATGAACCTGTTTGCTGAGAGCCCACCTGCTGCTTGCTTAGCTTTGGGGGCTTGCCGTGGTCCTGAGTGGTCTGGGGTCAGCTCAGCCGTTCTGGAAAAGCACCCGGCGCCACAGACTGGCAAAGGACAGTTTGCCTGGTCAGGATAACACGGGAAGGAGGGCTGCGTCCCTGCCCAAAATGACGGCGCTGAGAGAGGGGCTCCCAGTGGGACCCTGTGCACCGGTCATGAGAGGATAGGTAAGGGCAACAGTTTTTCTAAAATGGCCCGGATTTTACCGGAAGCAGTCAAGCACTGGCCGGAGGGAGGCCGGTGCCCTGTCTCATGGAGAGGCATGGAGGCCTCATGAGAACAGGTGCAGTGACGTCACAGTGGCTTCTGCGTCTCGGGGAGGGGGAGTCTGGCGAGAGTTTGTGTCTGTGGCACTTACAGGGGACAGGCTCCTTGTGACCTGTGCTGTGATGTAAGCATGCGTGTGATTTGCAAAGGCAATGCGTTTCTAAAGGGCTTAACGGGAGAGGAAAGGGTCCTGGTTTCTGAAAGTCAGGCCTGTTCTACTTTAATTTTGCTAATAATTAAAATAGATGTGTTTCCTAATTGCTGGTTTTCCCTTGAGTGCATGGCTCAGCACGCAGCGAGGCAGCTGAGCCAGGATTTCCTACCGGATGAGCCCCGGAATGGCCCAGGTTAGGAAGAAACTGTCATTTTTCATTTCGACTTTCAGGACAGCATATTCTTGGGAGTTTGTCTCAACAGAAAGTGTAAAATGGCCCTGGAGGACTTCTTTTCTCGTCCTTAATTACTGAAGGCAGTTTAAAATATGCAGGAAGAAAGAGATGGGGCAGAGAGGGGGAAGAAACCATGGACAGCGATAAAGTGCCCCCAGTGATTCTTTGTGTAAAAATTTATATCCAACAATGGGAGTATTGTTGAAAGCAGGTCTTCCCAACCTGGGATCTGGGGATCCTCTTGGGGTTTGGGGGTGGGGTGGTTTGCGAATTCCCCAACATGATGATAAATACTTTGCCAAAGTCGTTTCGTGCATTTTTCTGGGCTCACAGCTTCTATGAAGTTTGTGTCGAGGGTTGTGAGACGTTTTAAATGGAAGGTGCAGACCCACAGAGGAGTGGAAAAGCATGTGAACCCCTGCCCTCTGTTTCCCTTTCTGTTGTCCGATGGTTTGATAAGATGACCTTGAAGGTCTTGATTAATGTTAAGAGTATATTAACGTCCTCAGGAGGCTTCTGGTTCCTTACATTAGAAGGTCACCAGGAGATTTCAGCATCCCTGGGAGCAGAGAGCAGTCGGCACGTGGCCTGGTACCTCCTGAGCACCCAGGACATGTTAGCCTCCTTGTTGCCCATGAGATGGGCACACGTGTCTGCTCTGCCCCGTGGGAGCTGGCCCTGCCAGGTGCCACAGTGTCAGGAAATGTGGAGGCTTTTGGGGACAGTTGAGAAGGAAGTTGCTCTGTCACAGAGAAGGCCCTGTGCGATTCCAGGCGGCCGTGATTGCTTTCTGGAGCGTCTGGGCTGCCCTGATCTCTCACTACCATATTGGCAACCGATGTGAATTCTTCCATTGCAGGTAGTTTAGCTTTGGTGTCAGAGGTTATTAGGAAGGTCATCTAATCTAATTCTAGATGAAAAAGGAGTTAACTGGATGCCAACTGACTGATTGGGACAGCTCCAGTTTAAGCCATGGTCCCCCTGCTGAACTGGGGGTGAAAAAGGAGGGTGGGAGAGAAGGAGGGACTATGGATGGATGAGTGCGTGCTAGTCCCAGGCTGTCCTTCGTGGTTAGTATCACTATAGCTTTGGTTACTATAAATTCAACCTTAATCTTCTATTGCACCAGGCCCCATCTTGGAAGACTTTCTGGTTTGTTAATTCGGAGGCTCAGATTAGATGAGGTCTCTTGGGCTGGACCGGAGGAAAATGTATCCAGGGAAAAATGCGAGTCAGTTCCAGGAAGGAGCCTGAGCCCTAAGACTGGAGGATCCTTTTTCAGTCTTCTCGGCTTTGTACAATATTATCCTATATCATATCATCTGTCACATACCATTTGTCTTCTGAACACGATGAAGTGGTAACAAATAGTAGGGTTGGATCTAGTCAGCTGACTTGAGAAGCAAATAATCTCTAGGAGATTTTAGTTGATATCCCAGATTAAAAAAGAGTATTTCCAGTTGGTCATTCATTGTTGTAGAGGAATGGCTGAAGGCTATAAATTCAGTTATTGACTCAAAGGGGGCAGGGCAGTCCTCAATGCCAAGTATTGTTCCGTTGATTAATATTCTAATTATTTAAAGTATAGTCAAGCTTGATTATCCTGGGGAGGAGGTGACTCTTTCAAGTTCTTGTCACCTACTCTGGTTAATTAAGTCATTGTTGACATTAATGATATCTTTGTTTACACCAGCCCAGTAGGAGCTAAAATAAAAGGGCTTTTCCAGCCCAAAACCCCTAATTACTTTCCCACCCTCCAGAAAGTGTGATTCTGGAAAGCAACAACCTGGGAAGAATGTAGTTTGCCTTTTTTTTTTTTTAAACCAGTTTTTTTGGCAACCTTCTAAGAGGTGATGCTGTCCTGGACCGATGTTGAGTTGGTGCAAAACTCAGTAGCAGAGCTGGTGAGTGAAGGATGCACATGGAGAACTTTCAAAGTCAGATTTTTCCAGCATGGTTTAAGTCCTTTGTTAGAAGTATTGTGAATGCCGCAACATCAGCCATACGCATTTAATTGCAAGTTAAAAGAAAAGAAAAAAAAGAATATATCTGCATACCAAGAGTGAATGATTTAAAATAATCTTCTGTTTTGTATTATCTGCATCTTTGTTCCTCAATACCCGAGTGTTAATATTTAAGAGTTGACTGGAACTTGAGAGTTAGCTTAGGAACAAGGACTTACTCTTGCTCAATTGAACCAAATGCAGGCTTATGCAGTTAAATACACAATGAAGTACACATTCTTTATTAGTATATAAAGTATTTCACAATTCAGAGACAAAGAACTGTGCTTAATATTACTTTGAGAGTGACAGTTTGGCAAGCCAAGAGACTTGGCGTTTGTGTAGTTTCTATACTCGCTCCCTCTGATCTGAATTCAGCGTGTATGTGTGTGTGTTCTGCCTGTTTATTTTAACCAGTCAAAACACTGAGTACCTACTATGGGATGAGCCCCCCTCAAGGAACCAGAAGCGGTTCTTTCCAAGTCCTTCTGACCTAGCTGAGGGGGAGAATTCAGATAACCAGAGCAATCCAATAGGAGATGTGTCCAGTATCGGACTGAAGGAAGAATTACGCAGTTATGCAATAGCTAGGTAGTGTTTCCACAGGAAGAGTCTTGTTCAGTGTTGACATTCTCCATAAAATGTATCCAGTAGCCTTGCAGCCTGAAGTCTGTTGTTTGGGTGTTGACTTATCCAGGGTAATTGTTTAAAAGGCTACCACCCTTTCACAGCAGAGTCTGGCCTGATTTTCCATTTCCATGGAAGCTGTCTGATTTTAGTCTTTCAGGGAGAACGTGGAAAATTGGTTTTTGGCGCCAAGTAGGAAGGAAAGCTGGTGTGCTACTTTCCACGGTCCTGATTGGATTCCTAGCATGGTGACTCGGCTCGGTAGGCAGCTCCAAAATTATTTGGGGGAAGTTTTTCAGGTGATCCCACAAATGATTCGGATCCAGTGGGTTTTCTGCTGCTGTGCGGAAATGCCCATGATCTTTATTACTCGTTTTCCTTGAGGAGGGATGACGTTAGCTTTGTATTGTTAGTTTTGTATTCTTTTTTTATCCATTTGCTGTGTCCACTTAGTGAGGCTTAGCATGGCTCTGCTTTTTCAGCTTTAATGGCATGGACATGCTTGACACTCCTCATCATGCCACACCTTTGCCTCATGTCCTTCTCTCTGACCTGCCTTTTTTTTTTTAAAGAAATTCTTTTTTTTTTTTTAAGATTATTTATTTATTTATTTGAGAGAGAGAATGAGATAGAGAGAGAGAGAGCATGAGAGGGGGGAGGGTCAGAGGGAGAAGCAGACTCCCCACTGAGCAGGGAGCCCGATGTGGGACTCGA